TACCTTAGTATTATATTAACACTTAATTCGAAAGTTTACAAAACAACAAAAACAAAAATTTTTAAATACTTTTAAATAAAGTAACAAATTTTAATTGTTTTAAATAAAAAAACATTAAACATAAATTAATAATGAATATTATAAGAAAAGATATTTAATTTAAAAATTTTTTGCATTTTATGATTATGTTTGAATACAATTTTATGAATGATTTTATTTTATGATTAATTTTCTATTTAAATAAGTTCACCCAATATAATATAAACATTAGAAAAGATCAAAGTAATTCAACCTTAACATAATTATAAGCGCAATTAAATAATTTTCTACAGAGTTTTATTTTTTCAGTTTTATATTAGTTAACGTTTTTTTAGAAACGGTTTTTAATTATAATTTTTTTAAATTTCTTCTTTGTTAAGATTTCATTTTCTTTATTTATAGTAAAGCTTGTCTAATTTTCTTTCATTTCTCAGGTTTTTTCAGCCTTAATTAAAATTCAAACATAAGATATTTCAAGCTTCTATTCATTGGAACTTATTTAAATTATAATAATGAAAATTAAAAAAAAATTGGTAATAAATATTGCAAAGATGTTCTAATATAATTAAAATTTACTACTAAAAAAATACAAAATAATTTTTGTAAGATCCATTTCCTGAGCTACTAAAATCTCAAGTTGTTTACAAATTTTCTTGCACTGCACTACGCAGAACCAATAAGCAGAAATAAGAATATTTCTTATATTTCTTGAAAATTTTTTCAATTTAAACTTTTTATATTTTTTTATGGAATTAGATTAGTAGTTCCTAATTAAAAAAAAAAAATTAAAAAATTTTCAATTTTTATTTTTTAAAAAAAGGAAATTTTAGGCTTAAATAAACACATTTTGAATTACTTAAGATAAAAATCAAAATTTTGTATTATACTCATATACTATCAACTTAATGAAATATTATATAAATTAAATACAAAAAAAGTAAAAATAAATTTTTTAATAACAGTTTTTTTTTTGCTTACTTCAGTCCGCAAAGGGTAATGTTTTGAATCATGTTACTATAGAGGTAGCCAGTTTTTTATTTGATACAAATTTTATGCAACAAAAAAATATATACATACATATTAAAATTCATTTTAAAAAATCCTTAAGAAAACTTTTTTTAAGTGTCAAAAAAAGCTGATTTAATGCAATAAAATCTAAAGTAACTTTTTTCTAAAATGATTTACTATTTTTGAAATTTTTATATGATTTTGCTTCATTTGAGAACTAACATTTAATTTTTTTTTTTTCCATTAGGGCCCAATTTGAATCTTTTAAGGATATGTTGCACCTCTAAAAATATTTTTAGAGATATTTTAAGATATGGTTTTTCTTTATAAGGATTAAAAAAATAAAGCAAACTTGAAACAAACATCTCAAAAATTGAGGTCTTCAGTAAGGTATTTATAGCAAAAAGCTAATATACTAATACCTATTTTCTCTTATAATAGAAGAAAAGAAAGAATAATAAAAGAATGGAAGGAAACATACAACCTGGCATTGGGTAGGTTGGAAAATAATTATTTTACATTGTTAATAACAAAAAGGAGTGAGAAGGTCAAACACTTGCTGAACATATTGCTGAACAACTATATGATTGGATAACAACACGAGGTTGAAAATAAATTAGCTGAGATTGGAACATACTCAACCTACCTTCATACAAGTTTTACCTTTATTTTTTTAAATTACAATACTATTATTATTTATATTATTTGTTAAAAATATTTCTAAACACTATATAATTGAATAACAACATTCCTGAAAATAAAAAACAACAGGTTGAAAGGGTGGAGTTATTCAATATTTAAAGAAGAAACCAGAGTTCAAAAAAATCTGGATTATTTGTGCTTTTCATACCAACCAGTTGCCACTCAACTGGTTGATATGTAAAATAACACTCAAGCATTTGATGTTAGCATTTGATTGAAAAAAACATTTTTGACAACAGAATTATAGAAAAAATTAAAAAAAAAAAAAACATTTTTTCCTATTGCCAATTACATTCATAAGCTTGATATAATTGTATAGCTTTTTTTTTTTTTTTTTTTTTTTTTTTTCATTAATGCTTCCAACAAACTAATTTTAGAGTTGGAAGTTACTGGAAGAGAAAAGAAGAAGTTTTAGAGCAAGATGACGATTGACAGATGACTTAAAAGATTGCAAATTATATGAATCAGGAAGGCAAGATGAAAAAAGTGAATTCCAAAGAACTGATATTTGAGGAAGGATAAGACTTATTTGAATGACGAGTCATACAAGAATGAATTTTATAGATAGCACAAGAGAGGCTAGCTCTTTAAAGCAGTGCCCATTACAGTATTTGTAGAAAAGAGAAAGAGAAGCAACACTATGACAAGGTGTTAAAGTTTGGAGGTTGGCTGCAAGAGCAGGTCCAACTATGTTAACAATGCGTTTTTGCACCTTGTCTAAAAGAAAGAGAAAGGGCATCATTAGAAGATC